GTAGAGTAGAGGGACAGCGCAGGAGGGGAAGACCCTCTGTGAGGTGGATTGATTTAGTGACTGGGGTAATCGGGATGGGTGTGTCAGAGGCAATGAGATTGGCACAGGATAAAGCAGGGTTTAGAGCTTTTGTACATAGGGTCGCTATGAGTCGCAAACGACGGCACATAACAACAACAACAACATCATATGAACAGGAGCTAATAGTAATGAAGGAAGAAGTCCAGCATGCATTGAAGATGGGGGGCAGAAATAAGGCCTCAGGAATCAGTGGAATTCCAATTGACACATTTCCAACTGGCAAATGCAACCCTGAATGTGCTCACCCATCTATGCCAGGAAATTTGGAGAGCAGCTGCCTGGTCCACTGACTGGACATAAGAGATCCATATTCCTATTTTCAAGAAGTGACCAAACAATTATCATTAATATATCACATACAAGCAAAATATTGTTGATTATAATTTAAAAAGAAACAAACCCAAAACACAAAATGGTACATTGACAAGGAACTGCCAGAAGTTTAAGCAGGGTTTAGAAAAGGCCATAGCCCCAGGGATATCATTGGTGTTGTCAGATGGTCCCTGACTGAAAGCAGAGAATACCAGAAGATTGTCTACTTGTGTTTTATTGACTACGCAAAGGCATTTGACTGTATAGATCATCACAAACTATGACAAGCACTGAGAATAATGGGAATCTCCGAACAATTCTGCTCATATGAAATTTAAACCTACACCAAGAAGTTATTGTCCAAACAGAGCAAGAGAACAGTGCATGGTTTAAAATTGGGAAAGATGTGGGTCAAGGTTGTATCCTTTCTCCATATATATTGAGTATGTTGAGCAAGTATTTAGTGAAGTTGAACTCTATAAAGAAGAATGTGGCATCAGGATCAGACGAAGACTCATTGACATCCTGTATTATGCAGATGACACAATGTTGTTTGCTGACAGTGAGGATGAAACATTTACTGTAAAAGATCAAGGGTTACAATCTTCGATATGGATTACATCTCAACATTAAGAATACAGAGGTCTTCCTTACTGGGCCAGTAGGCAGCATCATGGTAGGTAAAGAAAGGATTGAAATTGTCAATGATTTCTGCTTACTTGACTCAACAATCAACATCCTTCGTACACCCGTAGTCAGGAGATCAGGAGCTGCGTTGCACTGGGGACATCTTTCAGGGACATCTCCAAAATACTGAAGAGCAATGGAGTCAGTTTAAAGACTAAGATGTATCTGATTCAGGCCAGGATCTTTTTAGTCACTTGCTGTGCATCTGAGACCTGCACAATGAATAAGAATGACAGAGAATAATTGATGCTTTTGAGTTGTGGTTTTGGAGAAGAGACCATATATCTTTTGGTAAAAATGCAGCCATAGTGCTCCTTTGGAGGCAAAGGTAGTGAAGCTTCATCTCTCATACTTTGATCAATTTGCTAGGAGAGGCTATTCCTTGAAAAGGGACATATGCTTGGAAAGGGGGAGGATCAGTGAGAGGAAAGCCCCCAGAGACATGGATTCACACAGAGACTAGAGTAATGGGCTCAATTAGAGAAGATGGTAGCATAGGAAGGGATTGTTATTCATAGGGTCTCTGAGTTGTACTCCACACCACCTAATAACCACAAGGTCTAAAACACATACAAAAAAACATAGAAGGGACTGTCCTCCCTAGTCCAGTATGTTTTGCCCACCTTTATCAGAGCTACAGCTAGATAAGCACAAAGGCACGCAAACGCAGCTTGGACTCATAATCGCAATACAGGTTATATGGATGTCTCTTTTATCTTTTTAACTCTCCCTCCACTTGCCTCTTCCCTGCTTTGCAGATCTCCAAAGAGACTAGGTTTTCACGCAGCTGTGACAAAAAGTGCTCTACTGGCCTTGGGTTGGGCTTACCTGTTGTGTCAGAAGAAGTAGTAGAGATCTCAATCTATGGACTAGAAGGGTAGACATTGGAACGAGTTTGGAAGAAAATTTCAGTGTAAGGAATCCACTTAGGATTTAATTAACCGGGCGGGGCGGGCACGCAGACTGGGGGCAGGTTCTAGGTGAATGGAGGCGGGGTTCTGGAGGGAGGCGGGCCTATGTCTGGAGGGAGGAGTACTAAATGGGGCCAAGCTATGGGAAGTAGGGCGGGATTCTTCCTGAAGCGGGGACTAGCCAGAGCTAGAGCAGGATTCTAAGGGAAGTGCCGAGGCAGTATGTGGTGGGGACAGGATTCTGTGTGGGGGCAGTGTTGGGCATAGCAGGGGCAAGACCGAAGAGGCAGAGCTCTTTAGTGGCAGGATTCTGAGTATGAGGTTGGTACTGTAAACGGCGAGAACATGACAGAGAAGGGGCGGGGCTATGCGGGGATGGGCAGGTTTCTACGTGAAGGGGCGGGGCTGGGGAGCAGGAGTCTGTGTTAGTGGGCGGGGCTGTGTGGAGGGGCGGGTCTCTAACAAAGGGGCGGGGTTGACCGTGGGCGGGGACAGGGTTCTATGTGAGAGTGGGCTGTGCTGGTGGATGGGGCTTTATTCTGAGTTGCTTTTGTTCTGCGACATCTAGTCTTCTGCGACTGATAGCGACCCCTGTGTACAGTAGTTCTGCGCCCTGTCCTGTCCTGTGCCAGTCTCGCTGACTCCAATACATCTACCCCCATTGCCGCAGTTACCATGTCAATCCATCCATGTCATCCAGGGTCTTCCTCTCTTGCGTGGTCCTTACATCCTTCCAAGCATGATGTCTTTCCCCAAGGACTGGTCCTTCCTGGCCAGGTGCCCAAAATATGTGAGACAGAGTGCCAAAATCCTTCCTTGTCTCCAAGGAGAAACTTGGTTTCACTCTTAAAACTATTTCTTCTGGAAGTCTATTTTATGCTCAATACCCTTCTCCAGCACCACATTGTGTAGTTCTCTGATGCATACATAACAAATAATTGCAAAGATTATGTCCTGGATCCAGCGCACCTTAGTCTCTAGACTGACATCATTGCTCTTTTAGCAATGGACGTTGGTGTGTTTTTCTTTTCAAGTTTTGAATATTTATTATTCAGTGCAACTTCTAACATGATACACTCATGTGATTTCGTGCTTTTAGTTTATAAACACATTCTGCATCCTGCTTAAGTTAAAAATTGTGCAGATGGCTTCTGGAAGACCTTCATTCTAAGCAGAGGTCCCTGACAGCAGGTTTTCCTCCTCTCCGGAAGGTTTTCAGAGACAGTTAATCACACAGGAGGAGATTGCCCATCCCTCTTCTGGGGAGCATTTGGTGGATTCGAACTGCATGCCTTTGCGATTGCAGCGCAGCTTCTTACCACTAGGCCAACAGTGCTCCCTTCCTCTTGCATTATTATTTTATGTGGAAGGGTGGACTTAGGCATGACAGGACCATAGCTCTGTGTAAATGGACAGTGTTATGTATGGGCAGATGACACAACCTTGCTTGCTGAAACTGAAGAAGATCTGAAGCACTTACTGCAAAGATCAAGGACTGTAGTCTTCAATATGGATTGAAGCTCAACATTAAGAAGACAAAGATTCTCACCTCTGGGCCAATTGGCAGCACCTTAATAGATGGAGAAGGAATTGAGGTTGTTAGCAATTATAACTTGCTCGGATCCCCAATCAACACTCAACATCAGCAGTCAGGAAGTCAAAAGACGAATTGCACTGGGAAAACCGGCTGTCATGGGCCTCTCTAGAGTGCTGAAGAGCAACGATGTCAGTCTAGATACAAAAGTATGCCTATCCAGGCCATGGTCTTCTCAATTACATGTTATGCTTCAGAGAGTTGGACATTGACTAAGGATGACAGAAGAAGAATAGATGCCTTCAAGCTGTGGTGGTGGGGAAGAGTCTTGAACAATGGACTGCCAAGAAAACAAATAAGTCTGTCTTGAAGAGGGTGAAACCAAGTCTCTCCTTGGAGACTAGGATTTTGAAGCTCCGCCTCGCTTACTTTGGGCACGTGGCCAGGAGAGATTGGTCCTTGGAGAAGGACTTCATGCTATGAAAGGTGGACAGACAGCGCAGCAGAGAGAGAGAGACCCCAGATCAGATAGACTGATACAGTAACTTGGGCAATGGGGGTTGGTGTGTCAGAATTAGTGAGAGTGGCTCAGGATAAGGAAGGTTTCAGAGCTGCTGTACATAGGGTCGCTATGCATCATAGGCAACTCCATGGCACATAAAAACAGTAGCATACTATGACAGGTTTAGAAGCAGAAGTGGCATCCACTTCCTAAACAACATGCCTCCGGAAACTCTATGAACTTTGATAAATGTCTATGGTTGTAGAGCGATTTCAGGCCTTTTGTTCATAGGGTCAGCATGAGTTGTGCTGGACCCCATAATCAACAACATGTATGGGCGGGGCCAAGACTGAAGAGACGGAGCTATGCACTTTTGCGGGGCGGGATTCTAAGTGTAGGGGTTAGGGTTATGCAGGGCAGAAGCAGGATTCTGAGTGAAGGGGCGGGATTATGCGTGACTGGGCAGGATTCTTTGTGAAGGGGTGGGACTTCATTGGTTCGGGTCGTGACGGGGGCGGGGATTGCGAGGGCGGGGCTCTGTGTGGCAGGGGCGGGGCTCTGTGTGGTGGTGTTGCACCCGGGACTGGCGGGGCGGGGTTCTTTGTGGCTGGGGCGGCTCGGATCAGTTCTCTGGTTTGCGGGGCGTGAGCTGAGGCTTCGGAAGGGGCCGGAAGCCGGAAGCAGTCGCAGCCCCAGTTCAGGAGCAATGGCGGGCGTTAAAGGTACATCAGCAGCTCTGGGCTGGGTCGTTCTGCGGTGGGGTCTGCACTCTGCTCCCGGCTGAGCGTACAGCTGAACGTTCGGCGCGTGAGCGAGGAGCCGCCGCCTCTGGCTCTGCCACTCCTCCTGCCTCTGTGGACAGGGAGGCGCCCACCTGCTTCTCTCGTTCTGTGGAAATGGAGGGGAGTTTTGGGTGGACCCTCTGCCCTGGGTTTTTGCGTCTTCGGGCTTGCATGGGGCGTCTTTCTGCACCTTGCAGGCGGAGGCCTCGCGGCGGAGCCGTCTCGCAGGGAGACCTGGGCTTCTCCTGGGAGCATCCCATCCCTGACTCCTTGGAGCGCCCCTTCCCTCCTGGCTGCTTAGTTTCCAAGCTAGGTTTCTACTTCCCAACTTAAGTACCTAAAGCCTCGCCTCTCCTTTCCCAGCCTCTCAGCAGAATTACCGATATCTTACAGATAGCCCCTGAACACCCTCCATACTTTTACTAGACAACTTGATCCTCATGTTCCTAATGATTTGTTTTGTTTTGTTTTAACTTGAGCAGAGTTGATTGTGGCTGAATGCTAATGGAAATCATTAAGGATGCTGTATTTTTTTATAACTGTGGAAACTAAATGAGCATTTTAGCCGTTTTCTTCAAGGTTTTACCATTTATAGACAAGCAGGAAAGTAGTGTTTGGGCAGTAAGTGGTTTTGTGTGGGACACCTTTTAGAAAGGGGTACCAAGAACACCACTCTGTGTGTATGTCTTCAGAGGAATGAGGGCTGGCAGCCAGGAGAAAGATAAACTAACGTATTTTGATATAAAGTCCTTACATTTCTAATCTTTTAGCTGTTTTTGTTGTCCTCTATGACCACGACTCATAGCGACCCTGAGAACCGAAGACCTTGCTCTATGCTGCCCCATCCTTGTGATCTCTGATGTTCCAGCACATGGTTAACAGTCAATGTGTTGATCTATCTAGTTGAGGATCAGCCTCTCTTTCTCTAAATCTCCACCTTTCCCAGCATGATGTGTAAGTAGAAGGCTCTATAGAGACAAGGATAGTGAAACTTTTTACATAGTTTGGGAGGGGCCAGTCCTTGGAAAAAGAAATTATGCTCGGTAAGGTGAAAGGATCTTGTAGCAATAAGAGAATAATTTGTTTTCATGTTTGAGTTCCTGTCTTTCCTGAAATTTAAGCAGTATTGCTCTCCACTTAAACAGTATCAACATTAAACATGTGTAAAGTATGTGTGTGTTCACTGTGACATTTATCTGAGTGTCAGCTGTTAGCAGCAGATATGTTTTATCGTTATTTCTGGCTGAATTTTAAACACATCATTTTAGTCAACATGGTTTATTTGAACCACCTGCAGGATGTAATATATCTATTTGAAGATAACACAAAACCAAAAAAAAAAAAAAAGAACAAATAGTATCTAAGTATTATACAATAGTTATAACCAGAAACTTGCACATAATAGTTTAAAAATGAGAATATTTTAGAAATTATGATAAAAAATAAGAGAGACTTTAAGGTAGAAAAGAAATAGAGAATTTTGCATTTAATCATCTAGTTTTTAATGAGCAAACTACTGTGTGCATGAAACTTAAGGTAAAAACATAAATGAGACATTACTGTGAGGTTACAGTTATGTTCCTGTATAAATGTCTAGGGTGTATTTAGGTCAGTAGAAGCACTGATGGAGTTACTAACCCTACTCCAGGGAAGAAAACTTTTCGCAGAAGAGATATGCTTGACCTGAATCTGAAAGGGTCAGTAAAGATATCAGTATTACTAAGGCAGGCAGATAAATATCCAGTGACCAAAAGAATAACATGTGACATGATGGGGGTAGTCTACACAGATGCACGAAAGAGCACATCTCTTTAAGAAACTTTTAAAAGACTACTAAGGGGGAAAATGGAGTGGTTAAAGATGGAAAGGTAGTCAAAGCCAGACCACAGTTAGCTCCGCCCTCCCTCCCCTTGTGAAGACAACTGGTAGACGTAAAAGCAGTTGCAAAAGTGTGATACCACATTAATGCATTTGAAAGATCACTACCTAATGTGGAAAGGAAAAATTAAGAGTCAAAGTATAGGCATATACATTCTTGTTATGGTCTAGGCCTGCTCCCAGGCATTGGCAAAGTGTCTAGAGAAGAGGGTGGATTTGATTGATGTTTGGAAGCTGTGTAATTTAGGATTGGTGAGTCACTAGAAGGTGGAGTGGCCAATCTCCAAGATAGGACCTTTAAAGGTTAGACTAAATTCCTTTTTTGAGAAGAATGGGAATCCCAGACACTTAATTGTGCTCATGTTAAACCTATGTGTAGACTAAGATGGTGTTGTCCAAGCAGAGCCAGGGAGCACTGCATAGTTTAAAATCAAGAAAAGTATGCATAAAGACTGTATCCTTTCTCCATGCCTATTCAGTCCGTATGCTGAGCAAATAATTTGAGAAGCTGGGCTATGTGGAGAAGAATGTGGCATCAGGATTGAAAGAAGACTCATCAACACCTGCATTTCTAATGACACAACTTTGCCTTCAGACTGTGAACAGAACTTGAAATGCTACAGAAGATTAAAGACTACAGTCTTCAGTATGGAATGCATCTCAACACTAAGAAAATAAAAGTCCTCAGCATGAACCAATAAGCAACATCATCATAGATGGAGAAAAGTTATCAATGATTTTGTCTTACTTGGCTCCACAGTCAACACCCTTGGTACCAGCAGTACCAATAATGTCTGTTTAAACGCCAGGGTCCTCCTGGTCCAAGCCTTGTGCTTTTCATTTACTTGCTATGCCTCTGAAAGTTGGACAGTGAGTAAGGATGACCAAAGAATTGATGCCTCTGAGTTGTGGTGTTGGAGAATACTGAACATCCACTGGGCTACTAAAGAGCGAAAATGCCTTGGAGAAAATGCAATGAGGGTGTTCCTTAGGGTAAAGGATGACAAAATTCTGTCTCACATACTTTCAGCATTTTAGCAGGGACTAGTCCTTGGAAAAATACATCATGCTTGGAAAAGTGGAGGGCCATCAAAAAGAGAGGATTACCCTTGACAAGATAGATTGACACAGGGACAATACCAGTGGGTTTAAGTATATCAGAGATGTTGAAGGTGGCACAGGATAAGGCAAGGTGCAGATCTCTTGTTCATGGGGTAGCTGTGAGTTGTCGTTGGCTTGATGATACCTAACAAGAAGTGCTGGTAGGGGAAAGAGGCTGAATTGTTCAAGTTTACAGGTTAAATTCAAAGACCTTCTTGATTATGAGTCAGTAACTAGGTCAGTGGCCTTTTTTGTTTTTCCTTTGGTTGGTTGTCCAGTGGAAAAGTCCATACTGAAGTTGGCCCTGCCCACCTAGTTTTTAGGACTAGCTATGGTCCTTAAGAGTTATCAGATGTGACAGACAGGTCATTGTTATCATGGGGATTTTGGATTGAAAGCAGTTTATCAGCAAGGATGTGTGGAATGAAGAGAGATGGAGTTATATTCCTGGCGAAATATATATAAAAGGTGGCAGGGAAGAGATTACTGGGAAGTAATTTTCACAACCTGCGACTCAATGGCACTTAACAACAACAGCAACAACAGTTTTCACAAAACTAAGAGGAAGCTATTAGATATGGTTTTGAGTCTTGAGAGATGAGAGCCATAGGACAGAAAGGTTTAGATTCTTAGCTTTGAAAGGTCTCCTGGAGGAGGCATTCTTACAATCTAAAACCCGACCCACTGCCATGGAGTCAGTGACTCATAGTGACCTTCCATGAGGTTTCTGAGGCTGTCAGTCTCTCCAGGAGACTACCCATATTTCTCTCTCAAAGTGGCTGATGTATTTGAACTGCCAGCCTTTTGGTTAGCAGCTAATACATACTATGCCAACAGGGCATGAGATATGGATGAGGTGGAAAGGTGGTAGTAAGGATCTGTGCTGCCCACCCTTCGCTGCTAACTTGAAGGCACCTGGCTCCAATCGGCAAGCCTCTGTACTGTTTACTGTCTTTGAAAAACCACTGGCGGTTCAGCTTTGAGTGGATTCTTATTCAGCAGCACGTAACAACAGTGGAATAGTGTGTGCTTGTGCTGCTAGCTGAAAGATCAGAGGTTCAACTTCAACAACTGTTCTGTGGAAAAATTATAGGTAATTTACTCCCTAAAGATTTGCAGTGTCTAAAATTCAATGGAAGATCACTCTGAGTTGGAATCAACTCAAATGAGTGTGTTTTGGGGGCTACATTGTTGTTGTTAGGTGCTGTTCAGTCAACTTCAACTTACAGCAACTCTCCCAACCTATCTTTTCCTAGGATTGGCTCCTCCTGGCAACATGCCCAAATGATGTGTGCTTAAGTTTCTCCATCTTTGCTTCTTCAGAGCACCTTGCTTGCACTTCTCCAGGACAAATTTGATTGTTCTTTTCACAGTCTATAGGACATAGATGATCTCATTTAATTTACACAAACTCTTTAATAATGTGGCACTATTATTCTCATTTACTGGTGAGAAATAAGGTGGAAAGGATACCAAAGGTGGACAGAATAAATATCTCTCCTGTTTGTGATTTAGAGTTCATACTTTTTAACAATCATAATTAGTCTCAGCAGCGTGACAAGGGCAAACAGATTCTACCCTCAGAGTTTGCTGCAGGGAATAAATATCTTTAGTGGATATTGTGGCTGTGAGTATGCTCGAGTTGGAACCAACGCATAGCTGACCCTCCAGCTGGTTTTCAGAGGCAGTAAATCATACAGGAGGAGATTTCCCTTCTTTCTCTGGTAGGGCAGCTTGTGGATTTGAACCACATACCTTTGGGTTAGCAATGCAGCTCCTTCAATTTTAATTATATCTCAAAATTAATAAAACACAAGGGCTCCCTAGTGGAGACTAATCTGGAATAATTTTCTATGGAGCCATAAATGTGCTCTTCACATATTCAAAATACATGGTTTGAGGAAGGAAGTAATGAAAAAGAACATATAGGTGTGGTTGTTGTTTACTGTTAAGTCAGAACTGGCCCATAGCTGGCCCTTTAGTGGGTTTTCAGAGACAGTTCTAATCACATGGGAGGAGGTTGCCCATCTTCCTACCTTGGAGCAATTGGTGGATTTGAACTGTGTGTCTTTTGGGATTGCAGAGCAGCTCCTTACCACTAAGCCATACAGTTTTGAGTGAAATGAAGGAAGGCTTTCAACATTTAGATTATCAGCATGAAATGACCTGCTTTTGTCCATAGTGAGTTTTTCTGTTTTGCTTAGACTAATTGGCTGGCTAATTTTCTGGCAAATACAGAAGAAAATAATTAAGGAGAGCTTTGATATTGGTATTGGAAATGCTTGAGGCTTTACCCTATGATTTGAAAGTGCTGGGGACAGGCACTCAAATGCAGCATCAGTTAATAAATTGCTAACTTTGCTTAACATTGGAATATTTAGATCCTTTTTTGACTCATTTTTTTGAGATGTGATTTACATCCCTTAAAACTAACCTCTTCAGTGTACAGGTCAGAAGTGTTTTAGTATATTCACAAGCTTGTGCAACCATCCAAGCATAAAGCCATTGGTGCGAGGTTGATCCTGACTTACAGCAACTCTCTGGAGCAGAGTAGAAGTGCCCCAAGGGGTGTCCGGAGCTATAAATCTTAATAGCAGACTGTCATGTCTTTCTTTCATAGAGCTGTCTGTGGGCTCACATTTTCAGTTAGATACCGAACACATATTCCCTCTTTGCTGTAAGGCCTCCATGGTGCAACTAACACCACTCTCTAATTCCAGAATATTTTCATCATCCCCCCAAATCAACTCAGAGTACATTAGTACATCACTCCACATCTTTCTTCCACTTAGATTTTGTCACCCATTTAACTCTTTGTTTCGCTTTTCACAGCTCTTGTGGCTTTATCCTTCAGTGGTGCTATTGGACTGACTTTTCTTATGCTGGGATGTGCCTTAGAGGATTATGGGTAAGTTATACTTTAAAAGGAGAATTATCTTTGTTTTATCTTTGTCAGCATTCAATAGGTGTTAGGAAGTTTGGTTAACTTAGTGTGAAGCTCTGACCAATTGAATTAATAAATATTTAACCCAGTCATTCACTTGATGGATTTGTTGTTTTTATGGAGGGAGAGCTCTTTTTAAAGTGGGTATATTAATAAGATTGAGTTGGAACCAACTCATAGCTGACCCTCCATAATGAGAGGATATCCATATGCAGGAGGACATTGCCCATCTTTTCCCTGAGGAGCAGCTGGTAGGTTCAAGCCACATGGCTTAGGGTTCGCAGCATGATTTCTTACCAATAGGTCTGTAGAGTTTCCTTATTGTGAAACAGAGAAAGGCAAATGATTCTGTCAACAAATCATGTATGTTGCCCAAACTGGGCCTCCAAACAGGTTTCAAATCACTTCATTCTAGATTTGACCTTTTGTTGAGAGTTTGCATTTTCATCTAGTACATAACAGCAATAACGTGGGTGCTTTGAGGTACAATGTCAAAATTGAATATTTGAGATATAAACTAAGTAGTCTGCAAAATCTAAAATGTTCACTATCTGACCTTTTACAGAAGAAGTTTTCCAGCCTTCAACATATTTATTGAACATGAAATACTTAAACTTTACATGCATCACTGTTGCTTCTTTCTTAACAGTCCTCTTGATTAGTTATTGATCACTTAGTATAAATGGGCTTGTATAGTTTCTTTGTTTTTCAGAAAACTCACTGTATTCCAGGAAGAATTAGGAGCCCTTGACTGTGGCCATGCCAGGTGCCAGCTGGGTCTGTTTCAGGACTTTTTCCTCCATTTTCATCATGTGTAAAATAGTTGTTTGAGTGAAAGAACAGGAGTTTGAGTGAAAGAATTTCTACAAGTCTCTCAAGAATAATGTTTGGTAATTCTTGTAATAACACTGTTACAGATTATATTGTGTCTCCCCACTATATATGCTAGATTCCTGACCTGTGGATATAATCCCTTCTAGAAATAGTATTTGTTGTGTTATTGGAGCACTTTAGCTTTGTATGAAATCCAATCACTTCTGAGTGGTATAAAGGACAGCATAGATACAGAAGCAAGCAAGTGTTGTTGGGGGAAAGATAGATTGCCACGGAACTCTTGGCTGTAGGCGTGTCAGTAGTGAAGGGGCTGCAGGAGCTAACACAAGGTATTTATCCCCAAGCCAAAGGGAGATAGCCATTCCTTAACTTAGTGCCTTAAATTCAGATTTCTAGCACCAAAATTCTGAAAAATAAATCCACCTAACAAAAATGGGTGTATTTCTACTATTACAACACTAAGAAACAGGCACAAACTAGAATCTCTGTAATTTGGGAATCCAGTCTTAATGCTTTCACCCTGAGTCCTCTTGATAAAGGGCACATTCCTGTCTGCTCCCTAGCTGTCATCCTGCATTCCTACATGGCAGCCTTCATCACTGCTACCACACACAGAAACTGTCTGGTTCAGTGTATCTGTGCTATTACAAAATTGTGGTGGTGATCTGTACTGTCATGGGATAATAGATGTGTGTGTACATGAGTATGTGTGTGTGCATGTGTGCTGGTGCATATATGTATGTGTGTGTATATATACATGTATATGTGTATATATATATGTTGATCTATATTGATCGATTCCTATACCTACATCTATATATCTGATAGTATAGTCTATGGTGAATTGCACTACAAGCCCAAAGGCTGTGAGTTTCTGGGGATTCAAATCTACCTGTTGCTCCTTGGGAGAACGCTACAATCGCTACCTGTTGTGATTGATGGGTTTGGAAAGCGAGTGGAGGATTGCTGTGAGAAGGTATATACTTAATGGCAATAAGTTTGAGTTTTTGATAGATTTTATAAGTAGGTGGTGGTGGTTGTTGTTAAGTGCTGCTGAGTCACAAGCAACTCATAGTGACCCTATGAAAGAGAGTCCTTGACGCTTGGTCATCTCTCATCCTCTCTCCAGGTTCATAGGGTTTCCAGAGGCAAGCTATTACGGAAGTGGATGCCACTTCTCCTTTCAAGCTTGTTTTAATCAGGGAGCTCCACCCCACTTTCTGTCCGCACTGGATAACCAGCCATTAATGCATTTAACACATCAGTGTCACAGTGTTCAGCTTCACAGCAACCACAAGTTACCACTGTACAGCAACTTGTACACCAGGGCTGTACAACCTAGAGGAATGTCTGAACAAAAACAATGAAAGACAGGCCTGAGGGCCGCAGATTAAAAGTCACCCACCTTCAGCTTGGTAGCATCGCCTTTTGTCCACTGGGCCAGCTGATTTCTCTATTATAAGTAGGTAGCAACAATATTTTCCTTTGAAGAACTAAAGCATATTATACTAAATACCTAGGTGACAGAGTAAAAGATGATAGATTACTTCTAAAGTACTTACAGAGTTAATTGGGACCCAGATGGCAATTTTAAGTAAATACAAACATTGCATTTTGGGAAGAAACAAATTTTTTTGTGTGTTAAATTATTATTTTGATAATTTAGTAAAGATTGTTGTTGTGTACCATCGAGTAGAGTGTGTTTCAAGTTTTTATTAGTACGTATTGAATATTATCACTAATATCACACACTAGCAAAGTCCTGCTAAAGAATATCCAGAAATAACTGGAATAGTACATTGACAGAGAACTACCAGAAATACAAGCTGGCTTTAGCAGAGGTTGTAGCACTAGGTAGGACATTATCACCAATGTTAGATGGATCGTGACAGGAAGCGAAGAGTACCAGAGGAATGTCTATCTGTGTTTTATTGACTATACAAAGGCATTTGACTACGTGAATCACAACAAATTGTGGTTAACCTTGAGGAAAATGGAAACCCCAGAACACTTGATTGTGCTTGGTGCAAAACCGATACTTGGATCAGGAAGCAGTCCTCAGAACAGAGCAGAGAAACTGGTTTAAAATTGGAAAAGGGGTGTGTCAGTGAAGCATACTGTCTCCATAACTTTTCAATCTATGTGCAGAACAGATCATTCAGGAGACTGGGCTTTATTAGAAGGAAGATTGGAGGAAGACAGTCTACATTATGCAGATTACACAACTTTGCTTACTGAAACTGAGGAGGACCTGAAGCGCTTGCTGCAGAAGGTCAAGGACTGTATTCTTCAATATGAATTGAAGCTCAACATCAAGAAGACAGAGATTCTCACCACTAGGCCAATTGGCAGCATCATGATAGATGGAGAAGAGATTGAAATTGTTAACAGTTACAGCTTGCCCAGCTCCACAGTCAACACTCTTGGCGCAAACCATCAGGAAGTTAAAAGACGAATTGCATTGGAAAAATGTGCTGTCAAGGACCTCTCCAGGACCTCTGAAAAGCAGTGATGTCAATCTCAAGTGCACCAAATCCAGGCCATGATCTTGGCAATTACTTCCTATGGATCAGAGAGCTGGACAATGACTAAAGATGACAGAAGAAGAATTGATGCCTTTGAGTTGTGGTGCTAGAGAAGAGTTTTGAACATACCATGGACTGCCAAGAAAACAAATAGATCTGTCTTGGAGAGGGTGAAACCAAGTTTCTCATTGGAGGCTAGGATTTTGAAGCTCTGTCCCACATACTTTGGGCACATGGCCAGGAGGCACTGATCCCTGGAGGAGGACATCATACTTGGAAGGGTGGAGGGATGGCGCAGGAGAAGAAGACCCTGGGAGAGATGGGTTTGATAGAGTAACTGGGGCAGTGTATCTGAATCAGTGAGACTGGCTCAAGACAGGGCTTCAGAGCTGCTGTAGATAGTCACTATGAGTTGGTGACTCAATAGCACCTAGCACCTAACAACAACAATATAACTATTTTCATATCTTCCATACCTACATATTGGCTCTCAGCTACTAGTGAAAAAAGTCATTGGTTCAAACTCACCCAGTGAATCTATAAGAGAAAGACCTGGTTGTTATTCCCAAAAAGCATACAGCCTGGAGAATCCTAGGGGCGGTTACACTCCATCACTTAGGATAACTGTGAGTAAGATGGACTTAGTGGCAACTAATAACAAAGTTTAAATGCACTTACTATTTTGCTCATTCAACAATTATTAATGGAGCGTCTCATGATAAATACTAGAGAGAAATAGTGATTTGCTAAAACAGAGATCCATGTTCTCATAAACAAGAAAAATCAGGTAGGACTAAGTGCTGTGCAGAAAGTTAAAAGAGGGTAATGTGCTAAGAGTGACTTGGAGTGCTCTGGAATGGATGGTCAGGAAAAGCCACATTAAGGAGAGGGCATTTTGGTTTAGATTTGTGTGATAATTAGGAGCCAACAGGGAAATAGCCAGGGAGCTGTGATCCCAAAGCAGGAATGAGTAGTGTTTAAGAAACAGAAAAAGGCTGTGTGGCTACCAGAGAGATGATATCAGATGACTGGGAGAGATGAACAAAACCAGATTATGTAAGCTTTAAGGCACAGATTATGGATTTTATTCTAAGTGTGATATAAAGCTATTGAAAGCTTTCAATGATTCACTTACTGGAAAGATCTTTATTGAGCTGGCAAGTGTAAACCACTCTTTCAGCATACCACAAATAAAACTGAGGTGAGAGTATGCCCTTAAAGAAATTATAGCTTAATAATACTATAAACACAGAAAGATCCAGTGTGGAAAAACAATGTGTACAGACTTTATAAGTAAACCAGTATAAAATAAAAAATTTTTTACAAAAGAAAAAAAAAATACTTGTAAACACACTAGAGGCACCGTGGTTAAGTGTTCAGCTGCTTGCTGTAACTTTTGATGATTCTAACTCACCCAGCAGTTTTTATATAGGAAAGAGACCTGGTGATCTCAAGATTCACTGCTGCTGAGCCCGTTCTGACTCATAGTTGACCTTCCACTGGGTTTCTGAGACCGTAAGTCATGAGAAGAGACTGCCTATCTTTCTCCCTCGGGCTGTTGGTGAAGTCGAATTGCTAGAGACACATGACCTTTTGATTAGCAGCACAACACCATGAACTGTCACAGAGAAAACTACTCTGTCATACAGAGACACCGTGACTTGGAATTAGCTTGATAGCACTCAGCCACAACAATACAGGGAACGACAGAGTGTCTTGATCAGTCATTGTTTCGTTGTTACTTAATACCATATAAACTACCTATGTATTAATGAACTGGTATTTTAAATTATTAGTCCTTTTCTGATCATAGTAAAAATTATCTTATGTACTAATATTAACAATTGAATTTTTTTTACATAGAATTTTAGATGAGCACTGCTTTAAACACCAAAGTATGTTTTTAATTTCAAATGTAACTAACTTCTCTTTTTTGTTTTTTCCCCCTGGGACTGTCTGGCAGTGTGTACTGGCCATTGTTCGTCCTGATATTTCATGCCATTTCCCCCATCCCGCACTTTATTGCCAAGAGAGCAACATATGACTCTGATGCAACAAGTAGTGCTTGTCGGGAGCTTGCCTATTTCTTCACTACTGGAATTGTTGTCTCGGCCTTTGGGTTTCCTGTTATTCTTGCTCGTGTGGCTGTGGTAAGTTTTATTTTCTATTGTTTGGCCAGGTTGACACAGTTTATACTTTAAACACTTGTGTCTGGAATCATGCTTTCATTTTCATTGCTTATACTTTATACACAAAACCAGATGTCTCTTAGTTTCTCTGTTTCTCCACTCCATTACTGATCTGTCAGTGTCTTGGCCATGTTTTCAGAATATGTTCTTTGTTCTCTTGCAGCCTTAGCTAGACGTGCTGTTTCTTACTTTTTTCCATATTAATCTCTATTTTGAAATTTTTCTTGTATCCTTGTCTTTTCTAAATCTTTAGGCAATTCAAAAAAACTGTAATAGTAATCCATTTTTAGTTACAAAATGAATATCAGATTCGTCTGCAAATAGGATCATGTACTCAATTTTTAACTCAATAATAGCCATATTTGAATTTCAACTAGATCATGACTGTGTGGGGTGTTAGAAATCCTGAAAATTGGCTTTTCTAGCCATTGAGTTAGTCCCCAGTGGGGCATGGTCTCCAGCTACCTTCAGTATGGACACATGATCTTGTAAAGCATCAGCAGCTGTGGGATCAAAATAAGAGAGAGAGAGAGAGAGAGAGAGAGTGAGTGCACGAGAGAGCACTTTCTACATTGTGAGGTACCCTGGTGACAGCAGTAGTAGAGAAAGAGAGATAGTGGAAGAGACTGTGAGAGTGCTGTCAAGAGACTGGCAAGGTGTAACCAGAGGAAAATCTAACTTGTAACTGCTCTGAAATAAAAATCACAGTTAAAGGTTTTCTTTGCTGGATGATTAGTGAAAAATCTGACTTATAGCTGCTCTGAAAGTTTTACTGGTGGATTGAGGTAACCAAAGTCTTCTTGTATTTGTGCTGCTAAACTGAACCTAGACTTCACTAATTTGGGAATTGTGCCTTGTTAACCTGGCTTAGGACTGCTGTACTAAACCTGGACTTACATTGTGACTATTTCTTGCCTCCCCCACTCTCCAACTTCTTTCCCTAATAAACCCCACAACTGTGAATAAAGTCTGTGAGTCAACAACAAACATCAGACCCTAAGATTGGTAAAAATAGGGGCAGGAGCATGTGGGGTAGCATGTCTGACTATGTAGGTATCTGTATAGCACTATGGATGGATATTGTTGTTACTGTTATGTGCCACCATGATACTGTACAGATGGATGTTGTTATTGTTATGTGCCATCAAATCTGCTGGGACTCCTAGTGACCTTATGCACATTAGCTCTGAACTCTGCCCTATGCTGAGCCAATCTCACTTCCTCCTACACACTTACCCCATTACCCGTTATTGTGTTAATCTGTGTTATCCGGGATCTTCCTCTCATGTACCATCCCTTGACCCTTCCAAGCATGATGTTCTTCTCCAAGGACTGGTCCCTCCTGGCAACATGCCAGAAGTACATTAGACAGAGCTTCAAAATCTTTGCCTCTAAGTAGAAACTTGGTTACACCATCTTCAGGACACAACTATTTTTTTCTCTTGGCACTCCATGGTATATTCAGTACTCTTCTCCACCACCACAATTCAAAGGCTTCAATTCTTCTTCTGTCACCTTTAGTCATTCTCCAATTTTCTGATGAATACTAAGTAATTGTGAAGACTGGTCTGGATCAGGCACATCTTAGTCTCTAGACTTAATCTTCAGTACTGTGGAAAGGTCACCTACAGTAGATTTTCCCAATGTAAGTTTGTCTTTTGATTCCTGACTGCTGTTGCCAGGAGTGTTGATTGTGGAGACAAGCAAACTGAAGCTGTTAATAATCTCAGTGCCCTTTCTGTCTATCTTACTGCTGCTAATGAGCCCAGTGGTGAGAATATTTGTTTTCTTGGTGTTGGCCTCAGTCCATATTGAAGACTGCAGATATTGGTCTTCTGCAGCAAATGCTTCAGATCCCTTTCAGTTTCACAAGCAACATTGTATCATCTCTATGACACAGGATGTTGATAAATCCTGATACTGCATTCCTCCTCATACAATCCGGCCTCCTGAATGATTTATTCCACAGATAGATTGAAAAGGTTTGGAGACAGGATACATCCCTGACTCACTGCTTTCCTGATTTTGAACCATGCAGTGTTTTGGGTTTTTTTTTTTTGGTTTTTTTTTTTGTTCTGTTCTGATGACAACTTCATGGTCCAAATATAGGTTTCACATTAGCACAATCAAGTTGTTCTGGGATTACCATTTTTAAAAAAAAAAGTTTTCCATAGTCAGTGAAACACAGGCTACCTTCTGGTACTCTGCATTCAGCCAAGATCCATCGGACATTGGCTGTGTCCCTAGTGCCATGGCTTCTTCTAAACCCAGCTATGATTACTATTGATGGGAAAATTTCCCCTTTATGAAGACAGTAGAAGTCAGACTTGGCCATCCCCACATTCCTACTGTCCCTTTAACACTATGATGGTACCCTTTTAGTTCTAAAGTAAAAATTTCCTTTCATCTCCAGAAAGCACATTGTGGGTATAATTTATTCAGTTATATGATGCTTGCATT